TGAGTGTTTCCGGGTAGCTGCGGTGGGCCAAACATCCAAAAGGATCGCGTCCGTTGTCAAACTTGCCTGTCCAGCCAAAATGGCCGACTCTCGTTTTGCCGCAGCCAACCCGGCCAGCCGCGAGGCTGTGCGCACTGCCACACTTGAAGCGAACAAGCAAGCATGGAACAACATTCACAACCGAATTGTAATGGCATTGGCCATGCGAAACAACAGTGAAGGTCAAGACACTGAAGACCTTGTTGAGGGATTGATGTGTGAGTGGACGCCTTGTTCAGCACTGAGGTTTTACGGTATGAACGATCCACTTGCAGAGTACCTCAGCTTTTGCTTTTTGCCAACTGAATCCCAGCTTGCGAAGGTCATTTTGCCGGCGGTAACGCCGAGCCCAGTCATCTGGATTCTTGTCTCTGACTCGTCATGTGCACTAATCACTGGACGTAGAAAAACCCTCAAGAAATACGACTTGGCTGAGCATTTTCAGCAGCGTAAGCCTGGGTATGTGTCGGAATTTATCCATGAGATGCTCTGGGGAAAGACCCTCCAGCGCCTGGTCAAACGCGGGATTGAACTGGCCGCGGACGCCCGCGAGCGACATGGTCCGGACGCCCGTATCAACCTGCATTTGTCCTGGTTCGGGAATGAATTGGTAGGGGAGGATGGGATTGCACAGAATCCAAATTGGCCATTCGACGGCCCCAATGGACATTGGCCGACGATCCTTGCTGACTGTGAACGCCATTTGACTTGGTACGTCGACAAAGCCAAAGAATTGGGTTTGCAATCGGCCGGTCTCACCACCGCGCCCTGGTCTGTTGACTATGGCATCCACCCCATCTTTGACCAGTTCTTTGAGGCATTAGAACCAAAGTTCAAAGCACTGACCTGCAGCCCGCGAGGGCTTGCCAACCCACGCTTCCCATGGTTGCGCGCCAAAGGGTACGCCGATGCGATGGAGTTCAAGGATGATTGGCACTTTGTCAACTCCGAGGAGAATCGTGTCAGGCTCTCGGCGTATTGGACGGCAACGATGTTTGCCATTGACTGTGGGTGGAACGTTGGCAGGGTCAGTCTGGAACTTTCAGCACTTGAGCAGGAGACTTGGGAACACCTGAGGCGCAACGTCAATTTCGTCCTTGATGCATTGCCAGTTTCTTAACAAGAAAGGGTGTCCGAAATCACGAAGCTGTTGTTCGGTGAATCTCGCAGGCATTTCATCCCGATTGGAAAGTCTTTCACGGTTGATGATGTCAAGGCCCAGCAACCTGACACGCAGGACTTCTTGGACGTGAAGACTCTTGCACCAGGTATGTTTGCTGAGCCACCCACTGACGATCCACCGAAATCGGCCGCTGGCGACAGCGCGCCCGCAGCTTCCGGCCAAGTCTCAATCACGGTACAAACACCCGAAGTAGTGCTGAAGTCAAAGCCAAAGGCAGCACCTGAGCGTGCATCCGCCTCAACTGCAGCCGCAGACACCAGTTCCAGTACGTATCGGCCGCAGGCAACTGCGAGCTTGACTGATGAAAATGTCCCTGGCCTTGTCCGAGCACATTGGATGGAGGACCATCTCCCCGAATATCAATATACCATGGTGGTTAATTCGCAGGGGGATGAGGTACCCGGGATCATCTTTCAAGGTACGCCGTACGAGTTGGAACTCTTGAATGCATCGGATGTGGAAACAGTTGCACGCCATATCAAAGTCGACAAGCGTTTTGCAGATTTCGCCACCCGAGTGAATAAGGTTTGCAGGGGTCATGCATCGGCTCTAAGGTTCCTATGAACAAAGATCTTTGGATCGACTTGGAGTCCTTTGCCAAAGCCTTCCGCAAGGAAGTGCCCCCAGACGTCTTTATCACTGTGGCCAACCTTTTTGCAACTGCAATGAAAGTCGACAAACATGGCAAAAGTAGGTTCCAATTCCTATGTGCACGAATTCCTGAACTTCCGTATGACAACAGCCTCGGCATGATCTTCGTCCCAGTGATGATCAGAGCAATCCAGGGTCACTCCGAAACTGCCCTGAAGAATGCAGGTGGTCTTTATGCAAATTCCACTTTGATCTATTGTGTCGAAGATGTTGACCCTGAGCGAAAGGCCGCCTTCACGGGCGTGCTATGACTGAGGTCCCTGATGTTGCATATCATCGCACGATGAAGAGCAACTGGAAGAGCATCGCCAAAAATGGGCTTATCCCCGGAGGTGGTGACTCAGTCAATAGCGGTCGCGCCCATGTTTACATGTCACAGCACCGCATAGGCACAGATGGGTACAGGTCAGGGCTTCGCGCCAAGTGCCCGGTCGAGATAAAGATCGCCATGAAGCAGGCCGTTCAGGGAGGTGTCATTTTCAGCCGAACCGAGATGGATGGCATCCTGAGCTCCGAAAAGGTTCCGCCCCAGTACATCATCAGCATTTCTGAGGACAACAAGGTGATTTGGTCCCGCGCCGAGAGCAATCTCGAGCCCAGTACCTGGACAAGCGCGGAAGAAGCCAAGTCGCCGAAAGCCAAAGTCCAACTTATGCCACGTGATGATGCGAAGCCTTCTCAGGATGACCAAATGGGCGATGATGACACCGGCACAGGGCAACCTGATGCTCGATCCTTTCAAGCGTGGTGCCACTGCCGCTGACCACATGCAAGTCGACCAGCCACCCGCGAGGGTGCGCCGTGTCTACGTTGCGCCAAAGTACTGCGAACCATTCACGGGCGAGTGCCCTTTGTGTTTGGTCGAGTACGTCAGCGGCCAGGTGACCTGCACCACATGTGGATATGAGCCGTTGCCAGTGGACGAAAGTGGAGAGGCCAAGGTTCAACCCACCGTACTCGCATCCTGGAGAAGCGCATGCAAAAGCTTGCAGGTTTTGGGATGTACGGCAAGGTGAATTCCACCCTTTTGGCAACATTGACCAACGAACAGGCTGACATGCTTCGGCAGGAAATGGGCTCCAGGGGAATTACAAGCATAGAATCATCTGTCATCAAAGACTGCAGGGACCGGCACAAGCGAGCAAGGGCACTGGGCTACGAAGATGTTGAAGACCGATATGCCAGTGATGTTACCTTTTGTGACCGCCTCCATCAGGAAGGCAAAGGCCTGAATGATTGCATTTTTGACGACATGTTTGCATATGCCAATCTTCCTGATCCTCCCCGCTCACGAGTCCAGATATCAGCTGGCGTCGCCGCCAATGCCGAGCATCAAAATTGCCTGTCCAAGTTGATTTTCATGAGCCAATCGCGAGGTGTTGATGGTTTCCCCGTTGAGTTTCGCAAGACATGGACTAAGGTCTGGGGATTCATGTTTGGCCGCCACATCTTCACCGAGGAAGAATATGTCAGCTACATAGGTCGTAAGGGATCTTACCGTGGCCTTTTGACATGGAAGGGAACTGTCCAGGTGCCATTCGACGGGACTCAAGCTTTTCTCGAGAGGATCTATGAAGAGAATCTCCCATTGGTTCGGGGCAACCTTGAACGCAAAGAGAAGCAGAGTGCCGCAGCAAAGGCAGGAGGTCCCGGAGGTCAAAAGGCCGACCTCACGGTCGAGCCCGCCAGTGAGCGAAAGCGCAAGGCCGAAGCTGACGCAGATGTCACCACAACTGGTTTTGAAACCACAGCCGCCTCAAGCTCTGCGCAAGCAGACGCCTCATCCGGTGCCACACCATTTCTTGTGCCAGATCCGCCAACCCCAAAAGGAGGAGCAAGACCATTCTTGGAGCCTGAGACAACATCCACTGCATCAAAGGCAGCAAGTCTCGCAACATCGAAGGCTGCAAGCTCCGGTCGCCCGGATGCCTCCTGGAGTTGGAATCGCGACCACTACAGTGCACGTCGTGAGTGGAGTTTTTGGCGTGGATCATGGTATTACCGAGATGAGGCCGGCGGCCGCTGGGTCTATTATGACCGCAGGTATTGATGATCCTTTTGTATCGTAGTGCAAGATGCGGCATGGTAATGTGCCTTCCTTGCGTAGCTGCGACTGGTTTTACGGGCTTGAGCTTTTTAGAGGGACCTTTGAAAGACTGCACAAAAATCTTCAAAAGCCAAACAAACAAAATCGGCTACCCGCAAGGGTATGCCCACACGGCTATTCGTTCTCCGCAGTCGTCCCTGCTCGCCCGAGGGGGGTGTAAAAACTCCTGCAGTAAAACCATGTATTGTATATATCATCGTACCTACCATGCAGCGTTGGTTCAAAACAGGATTGACCGCTTAATGGTTTAGTGTGTTTTAGTCCCATTGTTGGCTGACCTGGGAATATACAGCTACGCTGCAGAGAGCTCTGGTGTTTGTTGCTACGTGACATGATTCTACGCTGCTGGTCTGGGACATAGGAGTAGCGCGAGCTCAGAAGGAAGGTAAACCACCTCCTGAAAGTTATTCTCGGATCAAAAAGTGTGGCTCATTTCAACATCTGAAATCCACTGCAGACAACAATCGAACCCTGTTGCTGACTGATGGTGCCACATGTTATCCAAAAATGGCCCGAGAAACCAATATGTTGCATGAATATATTGCACACAACCGCAGTGAGTTTGAGAAGGCAATCTACCGTAGAAGGGAGAAGATCAGTTCCCATGCTGGAACCATTGATGCTGCATGGGCTGCTGTCAAAGACTTCATCCCCAATTCATGGTGTTCAAAAAGCAAAGATTTTCTCCTGTATGTCAAATGCTGGCAATGGCGATATGTCAATGGACATACTCGCCTCCAGCAAAAGACGATCTCGACGCTGAAACGCCTGGTCTGAAAGGGGAAGAAAAAGTGTCCGACAGAAATTCCCAAAAACCCTCACGAAACGCGAATTTGGCCGAATTTTCGCGCAAAAACAATGCCAAATTTTGCTCATCGAAGTGTGCATTTCGCTGTAGCGAAAACGACATTTTTTTAAACAACGTGCGTTTTGCGAGCACGGTTCCCGGTCCTCCGGATAGTTTTTGCTGGTGGTCTCAATCATGAAACAGACTGAAGATGTAAACCTGAAAGAGTGCAGGCTGGAATCTCTGGAGACCACTCTCCTTCCTGAGTTTCTTGGCGGAGGGATTGCAGACTGAAACGCTTAATTTGAGATTCTGGGCAGTTGGTAAAACAAATTTCTTTGTGTAGTTTGCAGGCGCTCGATTTTTTCGAAGTAAGGCTCCTGTGGCAGTGTAAGCATATCATCATCATAAGGAGCGAGGAAGAGGTTGCTTGTTGAGCATGCTTGCTGAGGATATTTCTTCATCTCCTCGGCTTTCTACCTGTGCCTCAGCTTCTGAAGACGAGTACAGCAAAGCTTGGAGAGAAAATGACCTGCTGTTTGTCGTGCATCAGTTTGTTTCGTGGTCTTGGTTCAGTTTTTGGGATTTTCCACGGGTATGAATGCTCTAAGTTGGTGTGATGCGGAGACTGAGCCCAGGTGAAGGAAGTATTAAAGTACAACCTCCAAGCAGTTTCACGCAACTTTTCGAGTCGTGAGGCGCGAAGGATTCCAACATGTTCAAACGTTGGCCTCCTTCTTTACATTCCGATGGGCCTAAGCTTTCACAGGTCTGGATGACCCACTTGTTAACCTTGTTGGATTACGATTCATTCCAGCCTGTCACTGGCATTCCGCCTCTTGGCTGCGTTGCGTAGAATTTTCTTGCCACTTGTTTTGCCTTGGACCTTGGTCGTCGCCAAGACAATCTGGGCAAAATGTGATCTGAAGATGTCAGAAGTTTCAAAACTTTCAGGGCAGATTGCTTGGGGGAAGAAACACGGATCCTGCATAACCTCCTCTTCCTTGTTGCGTTTCTCTCCCTGTTGAAATTTGCTGTTCCAATCTCTTTCTTTCTTTCTTTCTTGCTTTCTTTCTTTCTTTTTTTCTTTCTTTCTTTCTTTCTTTTGCTTGTTCGATTTCTCTCTTTCCCGTTTTTGCATGTTTTTGCCCCTTTCCCTTTCTTTGTTCGTTTTCTGTCTCCGGTCCCTTTCTTCTTTAGGAAATGCATTAAGCCAGGGTTCCCATGTATAAATGAGGGTATGGGAGTGGACATGGTGTGCGTCCGGGCTTGTGTGCTGCTGGGCTTGCCCTGTTTGGTCTTCCCAACAAAGCATCTGCAGCCATCAGCGTGGCCTTTGCTGTGTGAAGGGGCCGTTCCAAGGGCCTCAGAATGGTTTTTGCACGGCCCAAGACCTTGCTGTGCAGTATGCATGTTGCGTGAATATCAAAGTTTCTTAGCAGGCCAGCATTCAGACGTGTCTTGTGTTACCACTTGCTGTGTGAACCGTCTTCTTGGGGTTACTCAAAGGAGCAAGACACCTGGGCCATCCTGGGCCGTTGTCAGGTCTATGGTAGGCGCATGATTTAGGACATGTTGTCTTGATTGTCACCCGCTTCCCCATTTGGTGCACGCGTGCAGAGATGTCATTTTGATTCATTTTGTGTGTTAGGTGCCGTAGGAACACGTTTACATGACCTTCCACTGCTTCCTGCCTTGTCAATCCTGTGTGGAAGTGCTTGATAGCTGTGAAAGCCAGCCGGGAAGCTAGCTAGTTAGTTGTTATTTGCCAACGAAGTGAGAATAGGGTGTGTGTGGGGGGGTATAGGTGTCTCAAGGGGCTGAAAACGTCATAAATAGGTGGTGTTTCAGGCGCGCAAAAAGTATGGGTTCTCAGGGTAATGTACTATGCGGCAAAACAGTGACGGTGGGTATCGATTCCCCCCCGACCCGCGGGCCAAAAGTATGTGGGTGAAACAGGTATGGGTGAAAGACTAAGGGTGCAAAGTCTGTGGGTGAAAAGTCTGTGGACGAAAAGTGTATGGGTGAAAGGCTGCGGGTGAAAAGTCTGTGGGTGAAAAGGCTGTGGGTGAAAAAAAATATGGGTGAAAAAAAATATGGGTGAAAAGTTTCTGGGCAAAAAATGTATGAGTGCAGAGAATAAAATGGATGAAAAAAAGTATATGGGGGAAAAGTCTGAGGGTAAATATGTTGGTGAAGAGCCTCTGGGTGAAAAGTCTAGAGGTGAAAGGTATATGGTTGAACAGTCTGTGGGTGAAAGGTATGTGGATGAGAAGTAATTATATGGGTGAAATAATGTGGGTGAAAAGTATGTGGGTGAAAAGTATATATACAGTATATGGGTAAAAAGTCTCTGGGTGAAAAGTATGTGCAAGAAGAGTTTCTGGGTGAAGAGTCTTTGGGTGAACATGTATAAAGGTGAGAAGTATGTGGGTGAAAAGCCCGTGGGTCAAAAGTATACAGGTGAAACGGGTATGGGTGAAAAGTCTGAGGGTGCAAAGTCTGGGGGTGAAAAGAGTGTGGGTTAAGACATTGTGGGCGAAAATTTATCCCTGGGTGACAAGTATATGGGTGAAAAGTCTGAGGGTAAAAAGTACGGACATTGGTCAAGAGTCTCTGGGTGAAAAGCCTGTGGAAGAAGAGTCTCTGGGTGAAAAGTCTCTGGGTGAAAAATATGTGAACCTAAAGTTGTCGTGTCTCTTCTTACATTAAAGTGCAACAACATATAAACCTGAAGGTGTCGTGTCTCTTCTTACATGAAGTGTAACAACATAAAAACCGTAAAGGTGTGGTGGCTCTTGTTGCATTAAGTGTAACAACATATAAGCCCTAAAGGTGTCGTGGCTCTTCTTACATTAAGTGCAACAACATATAAACCCTAAAGGTGCCGTGGCTCTTCGTACATTGGCTCTTCTTACATTAAGTGCAACAACATATAAACCCTAAAGGCGCCATGACTCTTCTTACATTAAGTGTAACAACATAAAAACCCTAAAGGTGTCGTGGCTCTTGTTGCATTAAGTGTAACAACATCAAAACCCTAAAGGTGTCGTGGCTCTTCTTACATTAAGTGCAACAACATACGAACCCTAAAGGTGCCGTGGCTCTGCTTTTTATGCCCAAAGTGATCCCATTTATGCCCAAAGTGAGCCAATTTATGCCCAAAGTGAGCCCATTTAAAACCCAAAGGGAGCTTATTTATGTCCAAAGTGAACCCATTTATGCCCAAAGTGAGCCCATTTAGAACCCAAAGGGAGCTTATTTATGCCCAAAGTGAGCCCATTTATGCCCAAAGTGAGCCCAGTTTATGCCCAAAGTGAACCTCAAAAAATTATTCCCAAAGTGAGCTCGAATTTAAGCCCAAAGTGAGCCCCTCGCCTGTGAAAAGTCTGTGCCTAAAAAGTCTGTGGGTGAAAAGTCTGCGGGTGATAATCTGTGGGTGAAAAGTTTATGGGTGAAAGTCTGTAGGTGAAAAGTATACGGTTGAACAGCCTTGGGTGAAACGTATATGGGTGATAAATAAAAGTATATGGCTGAACAGTCTGCGGGTGAAAAGAACATGGGTGAGAAGTATATGGGTGAAAGGCTGGGTGAAAAGTATGCGGGTGAAAAGTGTGTGGGTGAAAAGTATTTGGGTGAGACGGCTATGGGTGAAAAGTCTGAAGTGCAAAGTCTGTGGGTGAAACGTCTGTGGGCCAAAAGTGTATGGGTGAAAGTATGTAGGTGAAAAGTACATGATTGTTCAGTCTTTGGTGAAAAGTCTGTGCCAGAAGAGTTTCTGGGTGCACAGTCTCTGGGTGAGGAGTATGTGGGTGAAAAGTATGTGGGTGAAAAGTATATGGGTGAAAGTATGTGCAAGAAGAGTTTCTGGGTGAAAAGTCTCTGGGTGAAAAGTAAATGGGTGAAAAATATATGGGTGAAAGTATGTGCAAGAAGAGTTTCTGGGTGAAAAGTCTCTGGGTGAAAAGTATACGCGTGAGAAGTATGTGGGTGAGAAGTATGTGGGAAAAAAGTATGTGGGTGAAAAGATGTGAAAAGTATATGGGTGAAAGTCTGTGGGTGAAAAGTGTGTGAGGGACGAGCCTGTGGGTGAAAAGTCTCTGGGTGAAAAGTCTGTGCAAGAAGAGCTTCTGGGTGAAGAGTCTCTGGGTGAAAAGTAAATGGGTGAGGGTGAGAAGTATGTGGGTGACAAGTATGTGGGTGAAAAGTATGTGGGTGAAAAGTTATGGGTTGGAAGTATGTGGGTGAGATTTTTTAAGGGTGAAATGTGTGTGGGTGGATAGCCCGTGGGTGGGTGAAGAGTCTCTGGGTGAAAAGTCTGTGCGAGAAGAGTTTCTGGGTGAAGAGCCTCTGGGTGAAAAGTAAATGGGTGAAAAGTATATGGGTGAGGAGTATGTGGGTGAGAAGTATGTGGGTGCAAAGTATGTGGGTAAAAAGCCCGTGGGTGAAAAGTCTCCGGGTGAAAAGTTTGTGCAAGAAGGGCTTCTGGGTGAAGAGTCTCTGGGTGAAAAGTAAACGGGTCAGAAGTATGCGGTTGGAAGTATGTGGGTGAAAAGTATGTGGGTGAAAAGTATATGGGAGAATGTGCAAGAAGAGTTTCTGGGTGAAGAGTCCCTGGGTGAAAAGTATATGGGTGAAAAGTATTTGGGTGAAAGTCTGTGGGTGAAAAGTATGTGCAAGAAGAGTTTCTGGGTGAAGAGTCTCCGGGTGAAAAGTAGGGTAAAAAGTTTGTGCAAGAAGAGCTTCTGGGTGAAGAGCCTCTGGGTGAAAAGTATATGGGTGAGAAGTATCTGGGTGAGCAGTATGTGGGTGAAAAGTATGTGGGTGAAAAGTATATGGGTGAAAGTCTGTGGGTGAAAGTCTGTGGGTGAAAAGTGCGTGCAAGAAGAGTTTCTGGGTGAAGAGTCTCCGGGTGAAAAGTAGGGTAAAAAGTTTGTGCAAGAAGAGCTTCTGGGTGAAGAGCCTCTGGGTGAAAAGTATATGGGTGAGAAGTATCTGGGTGAGCAGTATGTGGGTGAAAAGTATGTGGGTGAAAAGTATATGGGTGAAAGTCTGTGGGTGAAAGTCTGTGGGTGAAAAGTATGTGCAAGAAGAGTTTCTGGGTGAAGAGTCTCTGGGTGAAAAGTATGTGCAAGAAGAGTTTCTGGGTGAAGAGCCTTTGCATGAACATGTATAAAGGTGAGATGTATATGGGTGAGAAGTGTGTGGGTGAAAAGTATGTGGTTGAAAAGTCTATGGGTGAAAGTCTGTGGGTGAAAGTCTGTGAGTAAAAAGTATGTGCAAGAAGAGGCCCTGGGTGAAAAGTATATGGGTGAGAAGTATGTGGGTGAGAAGTATGTGGGTCAAAAGTATATGTGTGAAAAGTATATGGGGGAAAGTCTGTGGGTGAGGAGTATGTGGGTGAAAAGTATGTTGGTGAAAGTCTGTGGGTGAAAAGTATATGGGTGAAAAGTCTGTGCAAGAAGAACTTCTGGGTGAAGAGTCTCTGGGTGAAATGTATATTGATAGAAGTATGCGGGTGAGAAGTGTGTGGGTGAAAAATATGTGGGTGAAAAGTATATCGGTGAAAGCTTATAGGTGAAAGTCTGTGGGTGAAAAGTATGTGCAACAAAAGGTTTCTGGGTGAAGAGCCGCTGGGTGAAAAAGTACAAAGGTCAGAAGTATGTGGGTGAAAAGTATGTGGGTGAAAAGTATATGGGAGAAAGTCCTTGGGTGAAAGTCTGTGGGTGCAAAGTATGTGCAAGAAGAGTTTCTGGGTGAAGAGTCCCTGGGTGAAAAGTATATGGGTGAAAAGTATTTGGGTGAAAGTCTGTGGGTGAAAAGTATGTGCAAGA